CCCTACAGCTAGGTTGTACTAGTTTACCATTGCCTCTTTGAATCAATAGTTTCCTTTAAAGTGCATCTTAGGTGCAGCCTCCTTTATGAGGCTTATCATCATAGCTCATACAAATTTTTACTTCTTAAAATTATGGTACTTATAAATGGCTTCTTTTGCTTATCTGGGTACATGGTTCCTGCAACAGAAGATAATCTCCTTGAGGGTGGAAATGTTCTCTTTTCTTTTTTCCTTGGTACAGAATAGTTGCTTAATATGTTTGTTGAATTGAATCTGAAGACTGTTTTTGAAAAAATGACATTTTCAGTTATGTGATGAATCTCTTTTGAGGATTAAAGAGGTCATTATTGCAATTTATTCCCTTTTTGTTCCTGATGTCTTTATTAATAGACACTTAGCTATTCTGAGACTATCCCTTTTCTAGTTCATTGTTCTTTTAGTATAGGAGAAAGGCAATCTGTGTCTCCAACCCAGTCAAGTACATTACAGTTTGTAGGAGTTTACTCAAGAGCCTACTCAGGGTTGAATATGCAGGTTGTCCAAGAAGAAAGGGGCCTTGACCTTTTCAGAACTATATACATAGGTCAAAGCCAGTTTCTTTCATTTCCTCCATTTGTCACTAATCTCTTGTTTCTCCTTCTCTCTTCATTCTTTGCTGTTTCTCTCTTCCTTCTAAGAGAAAAAATGATTACAGTACCAAAAAAAAAAAAAACCCAAACAAACAAACCTATAGTTGCTCTAAATCAAGTGTGACTAAAGGATTAAAGCAAAGCTAGAATCAATTAGAATTGACCCTCAAGAACCGATAAATTCTCAGTATAAGCATTTATATCCCAGAAATTGGCAAAATCCATAAATCTTTGATTTGTTTTTCTGTTGAATTCTAGACTTAAGAAAGTTATGGAGAAAATGTTAATGCAGATTAAACTTAAAAGTATGTTGTGTATACTTTTCTTTTTCAGAGAGCTAGTTGTTAAACATCTACCAATATCCCACTATAAAAGTCAGATTTGTGTTGCCTATCCCTGTGTAGCAGCTCCATTTTGATTTTTGTTTCAATAACTAAAAGTATTAAGATGTTATGGAGATTAATATTATGCTCTAGGCATCTGTAGGGCTCCCAACAGCCCAAATATATCTTTAGATCCTGAAATCTGATCAAGATTACTAAAGAAAAAATACATTTATGCACACACATACACATATGTGTATGTATACATCTACATACACATAAATATATATGCACATACATACTATATAATATGTAGTAATATATAGTTACATATAAACACATTCTCTCTCTATATGTACATAAATATACATTCACACATATGTATATATGTGTTGTATATGGAATGCCACTACCAAGAGTATCTTTAAGATCCTTCATAAAAGAAAGGTTTAATTTGAATACTGGCCCTGAGCAAAACTGTCTTTTTTTCAAGTTAACTCAGAATATAGAAGCTTACTGACCTTGGGATTTGACAGATTGTGTTGTTATTGTTGTTATTAAGTTGTTCAGTCATGTCTGACTCTTTGTGATCCGATAGACCATAGCATGCCAGGCCCTTCTATCATCCACTATTTCTCAAAATCTGTCTGAGTTAATGTTCATTGTTTCTATGATACTATGTTATCTATCTCATATTCTGCTATCTCCTTGTTCCTTTTGCCTTCAATATTTCCCAACACCATAGTCTTTTCCAATGAGTCCTGTCTTCTCATTATGTGGCCAAAGTATTTAAGCTTCAGTTTCAGTATTTGACCTTTCAGCTAATTGCCTGAATTAATTTGTATTGACTGATTTGATCACCTTACTGTCCAAGGGCCTCTCAGAAGTCTTATCCAGCAGCACAATTCAAAAATGCTAATTCTGGGGCAGCTAGGTGACACAGTGGATAGCACACCAGCCCTGGATTCAGGAGGACCGGAGTTCAAATCTGGCCTCAGACACATAACACTTACTAGCTGTGTGACCCTAAGCAAGTCGCTTAATCCCATTGCCTAGCTTAAAAAAAAAAAAAGGAAAAAAATGCTAATTCTGTGGCACTCATCTTTCTTTATACTCCAACTCTTGTAGCCATACATTGGCTGGAAAAATCATAGCTTTCATTATATGGACCTTTGTTGGCAAGGTAAGTGTCAGGCACTCTGTCTAACAGACCTAATCCCCTGAGTTTATTCATCATCTCCACTTCATATTCATAACAGATGTTATTTAGGTCATACCTATATGGTCTAATAGTTTTCACTACTTTCTTCAGTTTAAGTCTGAATTTTGCAATAGGCTCATGCTCTTAGCTCCGGCCTTCTTACAGACTGTATAGAGCTTCTCTTCCTTTGGCTGCAAAGTATATAATCAGTGAGATTTTCATATTGACCATCTGGTGATGTCAATATGTACAGCCACCTTTTGGTTGTTGAAAAAAAGTGTTTATTATGACCAGTAAGTTGTCTTTACAAAAACTCTGTTAGTCTCTGCCCTGCTTCATTTTGCACTCCAAGACCAAACTTGCCTTTTATTCTAATTATCTTTTTATTTCCTACTTTACCATTCCAAATACTCCATGATGAATGTGACATCTTTTTTTCAGTGTTATTTTTAGAAGATATTGTAAGTCTTAATAGCACTGATCACCTTAGGCGTCTTCGGCATCAGTGATTGGAGCATAGACATATTACTATGATGTTGAATGTTTTGCATTTTATTTGAACAGATATCATTCTGTCATTTTTGAGATTACACCCCAGTACTGCTTTTCTCATGCTTTTATTGACTATTAGGGCTATTGTATTTCTTCTAAGGAATTCTTGCCCGTAGCAGTATATGTAGTGATTATCCAAATTCACCCATTCCCATCCATTTAAGTTCACTGCACCCAAGATGTTGATCTTTAATCTTCCTGTCATCTGTTTGACTACATGCAGCCTACCTCAGTTCATAGATCTTACAATCCAGGTTCCTATACAATATCATCTTCACAGCAATGGACTTTCCTTTGGTCACTAGATGCATCCATAGCTGAACATTGGGTATTTATGAAATCATTTGTCATGCTTTCTATGGTTACTTGTACAGTGATAGGCTCTGGGAATCCAAAGCTAAAAGACAGTCTTTCCCCTAAAGGAGCTTCATTTCTGACTGCTGAGATGATGTGCACATATAGGTAGACAATATGCATATGTGTGTACACGTATGTACAAAGCAAATAAAGGTAAAGTAACCCGGGGGAGGGAAGAGAAGTACTACATATAGGAAGAGACAGAAGTCTGAAGTAAGGGAATGGATCTCAGATTCTGGGAATGAATTTAAAATTTTTGCTATAGTCATAACCAAGGCCTTTCCAATAAGAAATAAAATCTAGGTTGTTTGTGAAAACTCACTAAATGCAACCCTTCATTTTTCTCTCAGTTAGGGAGTGAATGAGGTGCATAGGGTCATCTGAATGTTGCTGACATCTCTGGCATGTCTCTTAAAAAAAGCATATGCTTTACAGTCATTTTTTCTCTCCTTCCCCCTTGCTAATGCTACTGCCTGTGTTTTTCATTTAATTAAGAACCCTGACCTTTAAGAGAGATTTTTTTTTAGCTTAGCTTAGCCTGATTTTAATGAAAGTTGAACATCTGATGGTAAATCAGGGCCAAATTTTCATGGATAAGGGTGACAGGGTGTTCATAAGCTTACAAAGAAATTAAAAAGGGACAATTACAAATCCATGAACCAAAACCCCTTTCAGATAGTTCTTCTCTCAAATAGATGGGTAGGTAGTAGCAGTAGGGTAGAATATCCTGAAGAAATGAATATCAAAAATGAATAATTCAAATACTAGGATACTGAGAGAATACAGATGTTTCTATTTGCCTTTACATCCAGTATACTACAAGTAAAGTCATAGGATTATAGACATAAAGTTGGAAGGGGATCTCTGAAGCCATTGAGTTCAACCCCCTCATTTGGCAGAGGAGAAGACCAAGGCCTAAAGAGGTTAAGTCACCTGCCCAAAGTCACATAGGGAGTAAATGGGATTTGACTCTAGGTCCCACAATGACTCCAGAGCTAATGTTCTTTCCACCTCATGACATTGCCTCTCCAAGTCTGAATCTTCTTCAAGACCCAAAATAAAGAGAAAAAAAATATTTCAGATCTTTCTTTGGTACCATATACTACTTTTCCCTACTCTCAACACAAGAAGAGTGACCTACTTTATCATTAAATAAGCACTGAACCTCAGCCTTGCCAAGAAGGATAGTGGTCAATGACTAGTGAGAAGGATGAGCCACCTCACCTAGTGCATTCCTACACTCAGTACATTTCATAGGATATGGGAAGGAGGGAGATGGTTGTAATGTTAGTTGATAAGAAACTCTAGGGTGCTAGAGCACATCTTATAGATAAAGTAATTAAAGGAAAGCTCACTCACTCAAGGCAAACTCTGCCTACAACTCATCCGAAGAAATGAACATTGAAATAACAGCACATTTGCAGGACTGTTCCCAAGCCAGGTCAATTGAAGCATTTTTCTATGTCATTAAAATTTACTGAGTGGAAAACATAATATACACATTTGCATAATGCATATATTTATGTCAGAGGTAACTATACCCATATAAAACATACATGTGTATATGCATACACATATTTTATATATTTCATGATATACAAAATACATCTATACATTATCTGTCTCTGTCTCTCTATTAGGTGAGTTCCTTATCTTATCCCATTCCTCCTGAGAGTGCCTTACCCAAATGGGTCCTCAGGTAATCCAGGGTCTTTAGTTCCGTACCATGAGGTAGGGACTCCATGTAGGGAGTTGGGAATAGAGAGTCCCTATTCAAATGAGACCTAGGGTTTGACTGCCACTGGTGATCTGATGATGAGTTTAGTGACAAAATTATTAGTTAAAGTTCTGCATATTGATTTCCAGGCCAAAAATGACAACTTATCTTCTGCTTTTACCATTCCTTTTCTGTTTTTTTTTTCCTTTTCCTATTTTTAGGTGCTGAATACATTTTGACAGGCCTAGAAGGAGACCAATCATCTGACTTTGAAGAGATACTGTTATGAAAATAGATTTACCCTCACTGTGTTCTGGCTCTGGTGACTGAATCAGTGCAGGAATTCTATCCAGTTTGTAACTGTGTATTAACACAGGACAATAAGCTTACGCCATAGGTGCCAGCTAGGGTTGTACTGGTTAGCCTCAGTATGTTGGAGCATGCTATTTTCTTGTACCTATCTTTGCTTCAGTGATAAATTGACCAAAGAGGTAATCATACAACATTTATTAAAGCTTAGTATTGACCAAGAGAACTTCTGGACTTCTCATTAGCTAAATTGTAAGCAGGACCTATTTCTTATGTTTCTACCATGTTCTTTTTTTTTTTGCTAATGAAATTTATGGAATAAAACAAGCATTTCCACAAGGTAGTATAAAAAAAAGATGATTGCATATGAAACTGCAAATCTATTATGCATATACTACTTGCTATTCTTTTAAAATATGTAATGTTTTCTTATTTATTTAAATTTATATATAATATAATTTACATAACATATTTCCATATCTTATATCATATATTTAAACATATGATATATAAAATATAATAATAAATATATAATAAAGTTATTGTGCAAATTTCTTTTTTTCTCTTCTTCTCCACTCTAGAGATCATTGCCATTAGACACAAATAGGCACATATATGTAAAATTATTCTATAATCCTTCTATTTATCAGTTCTTTCTTTGGATGCAGATAGTGTCTTTCTTCATAGATCCTTTATTTTTTAATTTTTGTATTTAAGGTGGCTAGGTGGTACAGTGGATAGAGTACAGTGTATATTTATATAAATACTTTTTATAGTGTCAAACTTAGGGGATGCCCATAAATTGGGGAATGGCTTGACAAAATATATGTTTTATTAAAAGGCATTAATCTCCTATTTGGTAATGAATAACAACTGGAATTTATATAAGGCTTTAAAGCTTGCAAAACTTTTAAACAATCAGACAATCAACATGTGTTTGAGCACCCAAGATGTGTCAAGCATTGTGCTAGATGCTGGGAATATGAATACAAAAGAATAAAATGATCCTGACTTGCAAGGAGCTTCTATATCACTGACAAAGTCAATAAGTGCATGTATGAATACATACAGAAGAAATACAGAGGGAATAAACATACACAAGTACACACTAGCTAAATCCAAAGTGGCTTGGGAGGGAGGGCACTAGAAGTTGGGGGGATCAGAAGATGCTTCATGCAGAAAATGGTACTTGAGTGTCTCATAAAGGAAGAGACTCAAGTAGCTTTTTTTGTACTTTATTTTATTTGAGCCAGTCACTTGCCAGCTGCAAGCTAGGTGGCACAATGGATAGAGAGCTGGATATAGAGTCAGAAGACCAGAGTTCAATTCTAGGCTCTCCGATAATCACTAGCTGTCTGACCATGGATACTTTTTTGCCTCAGTTTCCTCAACTGTAAAATGGGGATAAAAACAGCATCTACTTCATGGGATTGTTGTGAGGATCAAATAAGAGATATATTAAGTGTTTAGCTTAGTGCCCAGAACATAGTAGATGCTATATAAATATTTATTCTCTTCTGATTTAAGCCTTAGAACAACTCTATGAAGTAGGGAATATCCCCCCCCCCTTCCATTTGACAGAGGCTAAGAGGACCAAAGTGAATGTTTAGGGGTCACATAGCTAGAGAAGGTCTTTGTTGGGATTTGGACCTGGGTCTTCCAGACTCCAAATCCAGTGCCCTATTTTCATGCTAGGCTGCATCTGCTTTGAGTTCTGTTTTCTGTTTGAGGGTTTGTTTTGCCTTTCTTTGTATCATCAATGCCTAGCACAGTGCCTGACACATAGCAGGTGCTTGAGAAATGCTAGTTGTTTGACTGACTGCTGTAGCTCCTTGTAAGGATTTGATAAATCTATGTATGTCCCTTAAAACTTGTTAGCTTTATCCTTTAACAGCTGTTTTATAAAGAAGTTCCACTATAAATTAGAGGTGTCTTATAAAATTCACAATATTGGTCATTTTATATATCAGTGTAAAAACAAAATTCGTCTATGAGCAGGATGTCAGAAAAAAGGAACTAATGTCACCATTAGAGAGATCTGGAGAAATCCAAATAGATATTTTACGGTCTCTTTTTGGAGTGACAGATATTGTCAGACAATGCCATGTTTTCCCCTGCCTTCCTTTCTTTCCAAGCTATCCCTTTTATCATATTAACAGCCTATTTCTTTTCCTGCCATGTTTTCTTCAGTAGATTCTGTGAACCAGACAGCTGCTTTAAAACATTATCTGTCATTCTCCCATCACCTTTCTGAGAAAAGCAATTTTGCCATCCCTTGCTCAGATTGTACACACCAGTGCTTATTTCTCTGGATAGTTGTGGACCTAAATGAAGCTAGATGCTACCACCAGTGCCATGATCCAGTGACAGGAGGCTCAAACTTCCCCTCATCTCTGGGAAACAGCTGCATGGATTTAAATGCATCATACATTTTGTGGGGAACCTTTCCCAAAGGGGACTGCTCTTAGGCAAGTGCAGCAGACTCTTAACAGCTGAACTTGACCTTAAATGTGCAAGACAAAAATTGAGGCTTGGAAGACCGTTGTAAACATGGGATCTGAATGTTCTGACAGGGAGATAGAGCAGAATTCCTTTCTTCAACCTCTTTGCTCTTGCCAATGAAACACTAGCCAGGGGACATGGGCAATCACTGAGAAAGGTTTTTATTTTCCCTCTTTGATAAAGACTAGATGTGAGTTTGGACTGGATGTCTGTGTGTGCAGCTGCAAAAACCTCATTCCAAGGCACATTTTCTTAGCTCAATTTTCATGAGGAACTGGGATTTGTAATCATTTGCAGAGATAGACTGTTTTTCCTCACTACTTTCACCCTCCACACTGTACGATCATAGCTTTAAAGTTGGAAGAGACCAAAGGGTTCATTTAGTTTTATGTCCTTATTTACAGATGAGGAAACTGAGGCACAGAATGGTAAATTGAATTGTGTGGGGTTGCTTAGCTAGCAAATGTCTGAGACAAGATCTGAACCTAATTCTTCCCAAGACCAGTGACTCATCCATATGTCAAGTTGTGTCTCCTTTTTCTTTCTTTTCTTATCTTTCTGGACTTCTTAAAATTGTAGACTCTTTTCCTAGTGGAATTCCTGCAAGATGCTATATTTCAACTTAAGAGGAAAGTAACACGAAGAATGGGGGGAATTTTGCTAAAATTTTTTCACTTCTTTTAAAATTATTAAAGTGATGTTTCTCTGGAAAGGAGTTAGGGACAAGGATATAGAGGAAGTATAGGTAATATAAAGATAAAAGATATCAATAATATACACATATATTTTTAAATTATTTATTTATTTTATTTTTAATTTATGGAATAAAACAAGCTTTTCCATAACACAGTATAATAACAAAAAGATGATTGTGCATGAAACTGCAAATCTATTATGTACAACTTGTTATTCCTTTTAAATACGTAATAAAGGTATCATGTAAATTGTTCCCTTTTTTTCCTTCTCTCTCCTGTGCCCTAGAGCTGGCTACCATTGGACATAAATGTGTATGTATGTGTGTATGTGTGTATGTGTGTGTGTGTGTGTGTGTGTATATATATATATATATATATATATATATATATATATATATATATATATATAATATGTACATGTGCACATGTTAAATTATTTTATCATCAGTTCTTTCTCTGGATACAGATAGCATCTTCCTTAATATGTCCTTTGTAGTTAATTTGAATATTTGTAATGGTAGTCAAAATGACTTATTTGTTCAAAGTTGTTCTTAAAACTATTGTTGTTACACTTTACAAAGTTCTTTTGGTTCTGCCCGTTTCACTCTTCATTATTTCATTCATGTCTATCCATGTTTTTCTAAGACCCTTGAAATCATTATTTCTTACAACAAAGCAGTATTCCATCACAATCATATACTGACACTTAGCCATTCCCCAATTGACAGGTATTTCCACAATTTTCAGTTCTTTGCCTCTTGTGTGGCTCTCCAACTCCTGTCTCCATGCCTTCGCATTGGCTGTTTCACATTCCTGGAATGTTCACCATCATCATCTTAGCCTCTTAAAAACCCTGGCAGTCTTCCAGACTCTGCTCAAATGTGCTTTTTGCAGAAAGCCTTTTCCAGTTCTTCCTACCGCAAACACCCCCTCGGCTGCTAGTTTCTTCTTGAAAAAAAAAATTGCTTTCTACTTACTCTTCTTGTATTTTGTATGTTGTTGTTCTTCAGTCATTTCAGTTGTATCTGACTTAATTTTGCAGATGAGAAACTGAGACAAACAGGGTTAAGCCCAGCACCCCATGCGCTATGGCGCCACCTAGCTGTCCTGTTTTATATGTACCTATTTTTGTAAGTTACCTACTCTTAGAATTTGAGCTCCTTGAAGATGAACATTTTTTTTGTTCTTAGGACAATGCCGTACATATAGTAAGTGTTTGATAAGTGCTTGTTGTTTAATTGATTACGTATTTGGTCAAATGTGGGAGCTCGTGAAAACTGATTGGTACCAACAATCCATCGATAAAAACTATTAATTGCCTGCTCTGTGCCAGGGTCTGTGCTAAGTAACAATATAGCCCTCGTCCTTCAAGATGTATATATACCAAGGTAATGAACCCAGAAATTGAACATTGCCCTCTGCCACCCCCAGCCACTTACTGGTTTAGCAAAATCAGAATGAAATTCTCTACACATTTGCCTTGAATTCCTCATATCTTTTAGATAGTTTATAAAATACATTCAACTCACTGGTGCCAACTATGCTGCTATCTTCCCTTATATCAGGGCATCCCCCTAGTGGTACCGGTTGAATCTTTGTCTAAAAACCTAAATAAGATTGAGCACTGAGAGGCTCTGGGCCTTTGACCAGAATATGAAAGCCACTGCATGCCTAGAATTCATGCCACTCACTGTATTTGTACTTGAATGGGACTAGGGCCGTGGAGCCTGCACATTGAGATTATGTCTGTAGGCACCTGTTCTCCCCTGTAATATAGTTTAGTTACCTGTTATTCTTGTGTTGCTCTTCTGTTCTTCACTGGAACTCTCCTGAACCACAACTGGGCTTCAGGCCTTACGTGTGACATATATTAACTTATGCACCCCCAGGGAAGTTACTGAAACTCTCAGAGCTCCAAGAAACTCTCTATGAATATAAATCACAGAGTAATTGTGGATATGCCTTATTAGGAAGAGCTCTATCCTTGGAGCTCTCTATAATGATGAAATCATAGTCTTGGTTACAAAAATAGACT